CGGTCCTCTCGGGCTTGACCGAGCTGACCCCCAAACGGTCCGGTCCCAGAAAAGTAGCTCGTTGGACAGCTCAGTCTGGTCCGGACCGGACCGCTGGCGGCCGGTCCAAATGACGGCTCGGACCGGGACCATACCGGCCCGGACCGTGTCCACCCTGACCTCAAAGGCTATTTCATACAAGTTTTTTGTTGCGGTTGGACTTTACGCCAAAGATGCAACGGGTCATCTAGTAGATTCAGTATAAGATGAGGAGTGGCCATAGCCTTTCCGGCTGGGGAAGATAAGGATAAGATAAGATAGAAGCTCGTTAAGAGGTTAAGGGATGGCTGACTTGGTCATCGGCTCAACATGTGGCCCATCCACTTGTCCAGCAACTAGGATCTAAATAGTCTACAAGAATCTACAAGAACCCCCAAAAATATAGTTCACCAAAAATCTAGGGTTAATTAAATAGGCTCGCCCCACCCAAACAACGGCCATTTTGACTTACATTTAGGTCTTCCCTGCATGCAAAGCTCGATGCTTATGTCACACAGCGGTTGTTATTATCCTGACGTATTAGTTTTACAAAAATCTAACGCACTAGTTTTATTCCACCTCTCACAACACGTAATGTTTTTTAGAGCTGACACCTTACAATTCCAGATACACTATTCTGCTCGGCTATTTAAGGTCTCACAGCACAAGACGCTAGCCAATTCATAAGCAGAGTTACCAGTTCCAAGTTCCAGCATTCTGACGGCTTTATTAGCTGCAAGAAGCAGCACGCGCCGCAGTGTCACTAGTAGGTGTCACTGTCATCAGTTATAGCATTGACCGGCTAACAGAAAGATCTGCTGAACAATTAAAGCTAGTTCAGCTCATCTTCCGGTGTCGATCACATCCACGCCCGCATCCCAAACACTTGACTTTCTGATCAGTCTGACGAGTTAAGACAAGTGTCATTTGTGGAAATAGCATGTGGGTTGCGCTACTGACCAGTTAAGGCAAGTGGCATTTGTGGAAATGACATATGGACGGACCAGTTTACGATGGACCATTAGTGCATACAAGTTGCATGTAGTAACGTAGTAAAATGATACCGTCAGAGATAGAGATATAATTTCCCTTCTGCCACTTCTCTTCATCAAAGGAAAAAAGGCGACTTGCAATTTAGGTCTTCCGGGCGAAGCTCGATGCTTACAACACAGATCAGCGATGTTTGTCTTACTTACTCTACTACGAGATAGGTACAACACGAGCTGTCACTATACGCTTTCGGTTACACTAGTCTGCTCGGCTATTTAAGGTCTCACAACACGCTAGCCATTGATAGGCGGGACTATCACTTCCAAGTTCCACTATGTTGATGGCCTCTGCTGCAAGAAGCAGCACGCCGCAGCTTCTCCTGTTCCTTTACGCTGGCTGCGTCCCCCTTTTCATGTCGAGTAATGCTCCTCAGCATCTCGTAGCAGCTGCCAACTCGCCGTTCTCCTTCAGCTTCGACTTCTCCACCATATCCACCTCCCGCTTAGAAGACCTCCAACTCGAGGGCGATGCGGCCCAGCACGGGAAGTTAGTCGACCTGACCTGCTACTCTCTCACGCAGAGAATCCCCTACGGCAACTGCACGGGGCGGATGGTGTACGCTCACCCGGTGCCCTTCTATGACAGTACCACCGGTGAGGTGTCGAGCTTCACCACGCGGTTCACCTTCGCGATCGGGCCCAACGCCGGTGGCGGCAAGGAGGGTGGCATGGCTTTCTTCCTCTCCAGCTACCCTTCAAGATTGCCACCAGACTCAAGCGGGGGCGACCTTGGTCTCCCTGGTAATGACGGCCTGAGCCAAGCCTATGGCACAGACCGGTTCATCGCCGTTGAGTTCGACACATTGAGCAACACCTGGGATCCAAGGGGCACCCAGGACCATATCGGCATCGACATCAACACTGTTAGGCAGTCGGTTAACACGACAAGCTTGCCCACCTTCAGCTTGAACGGCTCTATGACGGCGTCCATCACCTTTGACAGCAATACCAAGATGCTTGTCGCCTCCCTGCAGTTTGATGACCGTCCTTCTGTCGGCCCTGTTGAGGTAAGCACCATGTTGCCAGATCCCGTCACGTCCTTGCTACCGTCGGAGGTGGCAATTGGGTTTTCTGCGGCCACCGGTGAATCCTTCCAGCTCCATCAGATACTGTCATGGTCCTTCAACTCAACTCTTGCAACTCACGCAGGTATATCTGTATGCAACGCCCTAATTTTCTAATTCAGAATACTTGAAAGAATTATCTGGCAGAAAAAATGATACGAATATATACTCCCAAAATGGATTGCCAGTGTCTTCCCCTTTTCCAAAAAAGTCCCAAAATGGATTGACATAATAAGTGTTTGATTTTCTAACTTTGATCATGAATATACATAAAAAAATTAGATTCATCATGAAGTAGTTTCATGGTCATTGTCTCACAATTTTTCTTCAGCATATTTAGGAAAAATAGCAATAAAAGTGACACATCTCATAGGCCATGTCAAAACCTATTTTGGAAAAGGAGTGAAAATATTTTATTATTATTAAAGAAAAGGAACAAAAAGATTGTTATTTTGGCTAGGTAAATTATATTTTGGACCAGCTATTTGTTAAATTGATAACATGGATGAATATTTCTAAATTTTGACAGTTTGAACCACATTTCAAACTGAATATTCCACTTTGAACCAAATAACATGAATTTTTGCTCCAGCCAAAATTTTCAACGGCCTACCATCTCTCGTATAAATCTCACATCTAAGTCAGTCACGTTCCTTAACTTTTGCCTATTTATTTTTCAATGATCCCCATGGCCTGATGGCCAGACTCCAATATGAGTGATAATTCTTAAGTTCTCAAAATCAAGACATTTCATAGAGTGTTTAAATATTTATGCTATTAGTATGAATTTAGCATTTATAATTTATTACTTTATTTGGCCTTTTCTTGTATATATAGGTATTGGCCCACTAGCAACACAAATAAAGCTAAGCCGAGTGACCAAGGAGTCAGTCCCCACTAACGGATCAGTGGACGATAGCGGATCAGGGGACACTAGTGGATCAGGGGGAAATAGCGGATCAGGGGAAAATAGCGGATCAGGGGACACTAGTGGATCAGGGGACACTAGTGGATCAGGGGACAATAGTGGATCAGGGGACACTAGCG